AATAAGAATCAATCTCATTATACCATGCCTGGTGTGCTTGTTTTAGCCCATACAAAGCCTTCTTTAATTTGTAAACTTTCTCTTTTTCTCCTTTTGCAACAAAACCTTGAGGTTGATCTACATAGACATCCTCTTTCAAAACACCATTCAAGAAGGCTGATTTTACATCAAGTTGATATAAGGACCAACCATTTTGAGCCGCTAAGGCAATAAGTGCTCTAATTGTGTCAAGACGAGCCACGGGTGAAAAAGTTTCTTGAAAATTAATTTCGGGCTGTTGTGAATACCCTTTTGCTACAAGTCTTACTTTGTTCTTTTGAATGGAGCAATCCGGATTGAATTTTGTTTTTAAAATCCATTTCACACCAATCATATCTTTAGCTTCCGGCTTCTCTACTAACTCCCAAGTCTTGTTCTTCTCAATCACATAAATTTCATCTTCCATAGCTTTTTTCCATGCCTCTTGTTTAATTGCTTCTTCAAAGTTCTTCGCTTCAACAACACAAAAATTGCAACTTGCATACACATCACTAAGACTTTTCATTCTTCTTGGAGTTGAACTTTGGAGATGAGGAATTTAAGTTTGATGGAGAAGTTGGGATTGATTGTAAGCTAAATACGGGAGACATTTCTTGTGGAACTTCAAGAAAATCTTCATTTTCATTTTCTTGATTTCCCTGATTCTTCATTGAAAATAGGGATTTGATCTTGAACTTTCTTCTCTTTCCAATCCCAAGCAGCCTTCTCATTAAAGAGAACATCTCTACAAATAATCAATTTATTCTTCAAATTAAAGAGTCTATAGCCCTTTGATTTTGAGCTATAACCCACAAAGATGCATTTTTCACTAGCTTCATCAAGTTTGTGCCTCACTTCTCTTAGAACATAAGCAAAACAAATACACCCAAAAACTTTCAAGTGGTTCAATGAAGGCTTCCTTCCACTCCATGCTTCAAATGGAGTTTTTTTCTCCACCACTTTTGTTGGATTCCTATTCATCAAGTAAACAACCGTATACACGGCTTCACCCCAAAATGATTTAGGTAGCCCCTTTTCATGAAGCATTGATTTTCTCATCTCAATAATTGTTCTATTTTTTCTTTCTGCCACTCCATTTTGTTGTGAGTGTACCCAACCATTAATTGCCTCTCTAAGCCAATATCTTTACAAAACTTTTCAAATTCATTTGAGTTGTACTCTCCACCTCTATCACTTCTTAACGCTTTGATAAGATGGCCACTTTACCTTAACAAGCTTTTGAAATTTTTTGAAAATAGAGAACACATTTGATTTTTGTCTTATGAAATAAATCCATGTCATTCTTAAAAAATTATCAACGAAAATAATAAAATGCTTATTACCCGCATGAGTTGGTGTTATCATCGGTCCACACACATCGGTATGAACAAGCTCCAATGGTGCTTTAGCCCTCCATGCCTTCTTTTTCGGAAATGACTCTCAGTGATGCTTGCCAAGAGCACAACCTTCACAAACTTCTTTAACTTCTTGTATTGTTGGCAGCTCATACACCATGCTATTTTGTTGTAAATTCTTTAAGCTTTGGAAATTCAAATGCCTAAGTCTTCTATGCCAAAGCCATAACTCATCAACAACATCCATCTTCAATGCCATATTTTTTGAACATGAAAAAGTGAGAGGAAAGCTTCTACTTTTGCCCATCTTGATTTTTGCCACAATATGATTTTGTCCTCCCTTATTATAAATTTTGCAAGAATTCTCATCAAAATGAATAGAGTACCCATGCTCTACAAGTTGTCCAACACTTAACAAATTTTGCTCCAAATCCGGAACAAGTAACACATCTCGAATATGCTTTCTTCCTTTTTTTTGTCTCTATGGCAATGTACCTTTTCCTTTTGCTTGGACCAAGGCACCGTTTCCCATCCTCACTTGAGAATTTGATGAAGAATCAATCTTCAATGTGGTTATGTGGTTACTACACCCACTATCAAGAAACCACACATCATCCTTTTGTTCCGATGTCATATGACAAACATAAAACATGCTCGCTTCACTTTCTTGCTCTTCGGAAAAATTAGCTTGCTGATTTGTTTTCAACCGGCAATCTTTTTGAACATGTCCAAATTTCTTGCAATTGAAACATTGAGGTTCCCCAAAACCAACAATTTTTGTCAACATGGCTACTTCTCTTGCAAATTCCACAATTTTGTTGAATTGACTCTATATTTCCACTTCTCTCAAAATTATTTCTTCCTCTTCCTCTTCCGTGTCTTCCACCTCTAGAAGATTCACCTTTGGATCGATCAAAACTTGATGGGTATTTTTCTTGATTTTTGGAACTAACATTGAGCTTGGATTGAAAAGCACTTTCAATTGTCTTTTCGGAGCGCTTACTCAACCTTCGCTCAAATGCTTTTATGGAACCCATCAATTCTTCAACACTTAAGTTTTCAAGCTCTTTAGTCTCTTCAATAACAGCAACAATAGGGTCATATTTTTCCGGCAAACTAATTAGAATTTTTTCAACAATTCTTTGATTAGAAATATCTTTCCCATAGGTCTTCATTTGATTTACCACCTCCATAAATTTAGAAAAATAATCTTTCAACAACTCCATTTCTATCATCTTCATATTTTCAAAATCTCTTCTCAAAGATTGGAGTTTTACAGTTCTTACCTTCATGCTGCCTCTATACTCCTTCTCGAAGATATCCCATGCCTCCTTTGCATTAAAAGCATTGATAATTATAGGAAAGATTGTATCAGCATCTCCTTGTTGAATCAAGCCTAAAGCTTTTGCATCTTTCTTATTATGATCTTTCAATTGTTGTCTTTGGGCATTCGTCAAAGTTGTTGTATCCTCCGGTTCATCATACTCATCTTCAACATAATCCCATAAATCATATGAGAGAAAAATGGTCTTCATCTTCACATACCAAAAATCATAAATTTCCCCATAAAAAATGGGAAGTGTTGATTGATGGGCCCCTTGGTTTTGATTGCCTGTAGTCGCCATCACGATCGATCTTCTTCGGGGTTTGTTTTCCCGTTAATAAGCTTCACGCCCAGTTTGCTCTGGATCAAAATCAAGCTCTGATACCACTTATGTTGGCAGTAGTTTCAACCAACTAAATAATTTCTAAGTGAAAAGAGGAGAAGAATGAAGAAACAAATATTTTTTTTGTATTGTGTTGAATTCTTTGTTGTGTTAATATATCTTAGCAACAAATCCCTTACACTATATATACTATTCTCCCATTGACCTTTGGACTTTCCAAGACAATTCTCAATCACACACATGATACATGCACTCACTTGATACATGTACATAGTTGATACATGTACCTGCTTGATACATGTACAATAACAGATACATGAATAAACCAAAATGCACAATGAACATGGCATTAATTTATTTTTAACACAGGTCTCCCGGCCGTGTATTTGTGTATACACCCGTGTCCTACCTAAAATGTGGACGCCTGTAGCCGTGCCAGACACGTGTCCGATTGTATTCTCAGATTGTTCGTATCTAATACCGCCACGGCACCTTCGATAGAGTGTCCGTACTTCCTAGAATGATAATCAGTTGATGGATTATCAAATGTAGATTCTGATGTATATTCAGATAGCAGTAGTAATGATTTAAAAGGGGCTAGTATCTATCTATGTTTACAAGAACTTCATAATTACTTTAGGTCTATTTTGAAGGATTATGCAGTTCAGGCGGGTTTTGAGCTTGTGAGGGAGAATAACAAGTCTACGTCACTCACAGCCCATCGTGGCCATGGATGCAATTGGAGAATCCATGCATCCCTCTTGCCTGACAAAGTGACCTATAATATAAAAAACTCTTGGGTAGGATCACAGTTGTGTGAGAAATACTAAGAAGAGTAAGGAATTGACTTATACTGGATAGCAAAGAAACTATCTGGTAAGTTTTAAGTATCAAACCTGACATAAGATTTGATGCATTGCATGCTGATTCTATAATATAGGGTTAGGAGGAGAGCAAAAGAGGCAAATGAAGGAATACATACATTCTATCACAAAGTTGCCTTGATATGAAAATGAGAGATACTAAGAACTAATCCTGAGAGCGTGGTTAAGATGAGAAGGAACAACCGAACAAGATCATCCGCATATTCAACACTAGCTGGTGCTGTAGGCTCATTTATAACAACTGCAAAACTCAGTTTTCAGGTGTGAAATTCAGAAAATTGTTATGGAAAGCAAATAGGGTTTTGAGAGAAATTGAACTCCATTCAAAGGAAGCATATAATTGGTTGGTCAAGAATCCTTTGGAAACCTGGTGCAAGCGTCAATTTGATCCAATGGTAAAATGCGACAGTGATAAACAGTATTGTGGAGTCTTTTAATTCCTTGATTAGTACAAGGCTCGAACATGTTCCGAGTATCCTGGATTCAATCAAAATCAAACTAATGCTTAGGATACAAAAAAGATTTCATAAAGGAGCAGCACTGGAGAGGATGAATAGGGCAATCACAAAAGCTGAAAATTGCACAATTATTTGAACTGGGGGACATCAATATGAGAAAATGGAGTTTGGAATGGAATATGTTGTCAATTTGGAGCACAAAAGTTGTGAGCGTCGAAGATATATGGAATTCAATGCAATCATACAGTTACATGCATTGCACACAACAGACTTGACATTGCAAGGTTATATGACAGCTATTTCTCAAAGGTTATGATCTAAAAGCCTATAGCAATATGCTGTTTCCAGAACTTCTATAGGAGGGTAGACCTAAGAGGGCAAAGAGAAGGGAAATTCTGGGAAAATATCGTGCATTGACTAATGTAGCATATGCAAGGTATGGGGCACAACCGGATAGGCTGCTAGAGAGCACCAGTTAAGTCCAGAGGAGGTTCAACTGCAGCTAGTGGTTCAGGAAGAGGAGAAGGAGAGGTTCAGGAGGAAGAGGTTCATGAATAGGCAGTGGCTATGGAACCAATGTAAGGCTTGTAAGAGGCTTGCCACGGTTGTTGTTGCTATCAAAGACCTTCCCATTTTCCAATTTCCCTATATAATGTGCCTTTGCAGTAGGCGTTTATCCATCCACAAAATTAGATACAACACAAAGTTTACAACTATCACATTAAGCTTAAATAATTATCATATATAAATGTCACCACATCCATTTTTTCTACTATCCATTCCATCCAACCAAACAAAAAGTGAGGGAGATACCTTTGCTTTCCTAAGTATCCCCCATCCATCCACACCCCCCCCCAATCTTTTTTTTCATCCCTCCAATCAAAGCATAACATCTCTTTTTGGCTTATAACCTTCCATCATTAAGTTTACCTGATTTAAACATGTAAATTAAGAAAATCATAGTGGTCAACAAGAGTTGACCTATGGCACAAGGTCTGAAACAGTGAAACCCCCAATCATTCTCACCATTGAGCGTACAGCTCGTTTTTGTTAGACCGTTCTTCTAGATCTCTCTCTTGTGTGCTGTCAAACAAGAACAGTAAAATTTCACAATAAAGCAAATGCATGCCGCATCTTCCCAAAGGAAGTTAGTAGATCCCTTTTTACAAATAAATCACCTGCCAGAGAAGCTTGGGTTGGAGTTTAATTTGCAGATGTACTTGCTGAAGTTCTGCCCCAAGTTCAAGAGCCTTCACAAAGGGATGAAAGCTGTTCAACTTCAGATGAAACTAGACCCTCTTGCCTTCTTCACGTTTTGGTTAACCATTAGCTTCCTGATTCTTTCAGCGTCATCCCACTTATTACTCAAGATATACAAATCAGAAATGAGAGTGTAAACCCCTCCATCATCTTTTGGCTTTACCATTCTCAGAACCCGCTCCACCACTCTTTCCACCATCTCAAACTGCTTATGTACCTTACAAGCCGACAGGAAGGAGCTCCACACAACAACATTGGGTTCGAGGCTCATTGTCCTAATAACCTCATACGCCTCCCCTAACAGCCCCGCCTTTCCAAGCAAATCGACCATGCAACCGTAATGCTGAATTCTTGGCTTTAACCCGTACTCTTCAATCAATTTAAAATATCTTCGGCCCTCCTCAACCAGCCCTGCTTGTGCACAACCGCTAAGGATCCCCGTGAATGTTAATTCATTGGGTCTAACACCCATTTCTTTCATTATCTCAAATATAGTCAACGCTTTGTTGCCGTAGCCATGTTGTGCAGACCCACAAATCAATGCAGTCCAAGTCACGACATTCCTGTCTTGCATCATATCAAAGACTTGGCAAGCATTGTTTAATAGTCCACACTTGGCGTACATGTCAACCAGAACGGTACCAAGTTCCACATTCAACTCCCAATTGTTTCTCACAGTAAACCCGTGAATTGACTTTCCCAGCCGCAACCCAATTGAACCCATGTGAGCACACTTGGTTAAAATGGATCCGAGGGTGACTTGGTCAGGTTTTAATTGGTCAATCGCAATCATTTGGCGGAAATGTGTTAACCCGGTGGCCCAATGGTCATTGTTGATGTAAGCAGCGATCATGGCAGACCAGGAAGCAAGATCCCTCGAAGGCATTATCTCAAAGAGAGAACGCGCTGTCTCTAAATCTCCCGACTTTGAATAGCCAGTAATCATGGTATTCCACGTAACAGTGTTTCTGTGGGGCATTTCATCAAACAGGACGCGAGCATCAGCGAAGGAGGCAACGACATAAGCATGTAGAAGCGAAGAGGAAACGTAAACGTGAGAAAAGAAACCTAGCTTGAGAAGATGGGCATGGAGGTGGCGGATGAGGGAGAGTTTGTGCAAATGAGTACAGGCTTTGATAGTGAAGAGTAAGGAGAAAGAATCCAAGGGGAGGGATTGGCGATGCATTTGTGAGTAGAGGTGTAATGCTTTAGAAGGTGAAGAAGAAGCAGCAGCATTTCTGATGGCTAAAGACAGGGAGTTAAAGTCTCTAGTTCCTCTTCCTCTGCCAAAGCAAAAGCAAAAGCAAAAGCAAACAGTGGGATTGATTGTGGGACGTTTCAGCATGTAATTACAAGAGAGAATCACTCTCCGTAGCTTCACTATTTCCATATCGAATTTGAGGGCAATTGATTAATGCGGCTACTACTTCACTTCGGCCGATCCAAGTGGAAATACCAAGTGTATTTGGCCCCCCAGCCACTGAATGGGTGCCAAATACTACGCATGCGGGACCAAGGAACTTAATTGTATGGATGTGGAAACTACTGCATATAATGTTTATGTAATCCGACACCCAAAAAGCCACGCAACCTCTAAGCAAAGAATAAACCACTATGGTTGCTTTCGGTTACAAAATTAGGTCCACCTCAACCAATCTCAACCCATTCTAATATACACACATAATTAATCGCTTGTTAATGGTGAGCATACATATGATCTCTCATTAAAACAAGAAAAAGAAAATTTATCCGCACCAAGTTATCAACTACAAATACAATTGGATATGATTTGACGGTCCTGTCTATTACAAACTTATATTTTTCCAAATCTAACAAAATCATCTTTTTCCTTTTATTTTTTTTAAGTAGGGTGAGTTGTGCAGCATTTTTTAACTTGACAAGTAGGGTGAGTTGTGCAGCATTTTTTAACTTGACAAGTAGGATGAGTTGTGCAGCAGAATAAGTTGTGAAAAGTTGAGTTTTAAAAAATGTTTTAGAGAAGGGTTAATCAAGTGTTTCTTTATTCAATTTTTAATCTATTAAAATTACGGGTTAATTAACAATCACATAAAATAATGAGAGTAAAATTAGAGCGACACCAGATTTTAGCGACGAAACCAATTGAAAAATTTCGAGAATTTTTGTGCTGTCCCGAGCGTTTACGATACACTATGTATGAAACAAACTACACCGAACTTTGACTCAGGCTTACACCCCTTCATCCTACCAAGACCCAACACATTGAATGCCCTGGCTTTGTGACCTCCTGTCCAACAACTCTCGACTTCAGACTTACTCCTTGAATCTTGTAGAAGGATTGCTTGTAGGTCAACAACATTCCGTGAATGCCTTGATCCCTAACTCCATCACGATTTGAACAGCACCTTAATTCACTCGTGTGTGTATAAAATGTATGTTCTAAAAAAAATCTCATAAAAAGGCTCTTAATGAAAATCAGAATTTTAATGCAAAAAGCCATACCACCCAAAGTGAGAAAAGTATATTTTTATAAACTTTTGAAACCATAATTATACTTGGAAAACAAGTCAATTTCGTGTATGAGCTTTTAGGAGAAAGTCTATATAAAATAAGGAATTAAACAGAGTAGAAAACAAAGTTACCAAAAACTGTTATAGGACTTGAACCGGTTCAGCTGCCCTTGAACTGGTTCAAGTTGCCCAGTGTATTTTTTAAAAAACAAAGCTTTAACAGTTAAACCGGTCCAACTGGTCTTGAACCGGTTTATGTTGGTTAGACCTGAACTGAAGTCTTCACACTTAGAAAAATTCGGCAACGCTAATTTTTCGAAAACATGCAAGTGTCCTTAACTTCTAACTAGGCTTCCTAAAGTGTTGTTCTTACCCTTTTTGAAGTCGTCAAGTTATTGATTGAAAGAGTATTTTTTGGGTATTATAGTTGCATATATACTTTACACAAAAATATTTTTCCCTACAACCACTCTACTAAAAATGTATAGTGATAAGCAGGGTCGAACTCGTATTCAAGTTGGAATTTCGTATTAGAAGTTAAATTCAAATTATTATATAGAGAGGAGTAAAAATACTCTGTCTTTTTTTTTTTTTTGGTGGTTTTGAAAACTAATCTATTGAAATTTAAAATATCTAATCTAATAGGCGAGAAATTAAGAAAATATTTAAATTGAAGATAAAAATATAAGTGAAATACATTGAATGAGAAGAAATGGGGAAAATAAATTCGCAAGCATTGGGCTAGCTATGCAATATTTACAGTTGAATTGTATTACAGCTCCTTCCAATCTCCTCTTATCCTTTTTGCTAGGGGTGTCAAAAAATCCGATCCGATTAGTTCGGAATGCCAGACCCACGGATTAGTGGCGGATTCAAAAAAATTGAATCCGTAGTTTACAGATCGGATCACGGATTAGACTGTCAAAAATTCAATCCGATCAGTGAATTCGATCCATGGCAAATCCGTAATATATATATATATATATATATATATATATATATATATATATATATATGAACTCCTAACATACCATACTTTTTTTTTTTTTTTGATAAGTATTATACAATTAGTTTTATACAGTAATATTTATTACTCAATCAATAACAATGGACCACCAACTTTTTTTTTAAACAAATCTTAAACCTAGCCAAAAATCAAAGAACTAAAGAAAAGCAAAGAGAAAAGCGGTCGCCTCACTTATTATATATGCATTTAAATTGATTTTATCTATATTCTGTTATACACTTATACTGCTTTGTAAGTAGATATGAAATTAGTGAAAATAGATTATTTTGAAAAATTCAGTTCGCGGATTGGATCCAATCCTATCCATTGGCTAACGGATTGGTGACGAATTCAAAATCACCCAATTTGTTGTGAGCGGATCAAATTAGGATTGATGCCTAATTCGATCCGATCTGATCCGATCCGTGACTACCCTACTTTTTGCTGACTTAGATTCTCACGCGGACTGCCCACTCACTCCACGTGTAATGGCGACAAGCCCAGGTGACATGGCATTGAGATTATGAGATCCCAAAAATGGAAGAAATTATAGTGTCCCAAAGATTGGAACATTAGATCTTTAGGATTAAAGCCCAAGTGTGCTACAAGAATAATTTGTGTACTTCTTAATTATAAAAGTTATATCACTTTCTGCTGCAGTTTAAATTCCTTTGCTTGCCCTTCATTTTTGCTTGTTTTCTTCTGCTTCTCTAATTAATACAAATAAAATATAAAACATATGTATAATAATAATTACATAATATAAATAATATATATATTTATTGAGTACATAAAATAATAATTTTTGTGCCCTTATCATTGATCACAAACAACTTTTCAATTCCACTTCCGATCTTGAACTTGAAATTTAAATTTAAAATTACAATTCAATCGAACTTGTTTTGACAACGAAATTTGTCAATTACAAATTTTATATCTCACAATCTCTCTATTTTGTAATTTCGTGACAAAACTCTAAAAACAAATTCATAAGCTTCCCAAACAGAAAAGGAAGATTACAATTTGTCAAAAAAATTAAAAATAGAATGTTTCTCTTGAATATCTTTCAACTGCTCTTGATCATGTGACAATCCGAATTTTTAAAATTATATTTATTTCATTATATATTTTTTTATTTGTCATAATTAATTTGATTAATTATGATTGGAGGCTTATTAATTGGAGACTGATTATTTTAGTAGAGATTTATAGTTTTTTAAAATTTTGTTACATAATATATATATATATATATATATAGAAAGAAATGGAAAAATGGGATTTGGTGATGGAATTTGCGGGTCCCACCTAATGATATTTATTGGATTTGATTTAGTTTTATATATATATATAATATTTATATATACCCACCTTTTCACACCATTAAAACAGACATTATAATATATATATATATACCACCTTTTCACACAATTAAAACAGACATTATATATATATATATATATATATATATATATATATATATAAATCAAATCCAATAAATATCATTAGGTGGGACCCGCAAATTCCATCACCAAATCCCATTTTTCCATTTCTTTCTTTCTCATCCCAATCTCGGCTCACTGTTTGCATCAAACAGACATGGGTATATATATATATTGGATTTGATTTAGTTTTATATATATATAATGTCTGTTTGAATGGTGTGAAAAGGTTGGCTGCCGACAAAAAGAAAAGTGGGTTTGGTTTGGTGATGTAATTGTTAATTTTGCATTTTTCTTTTTGTTTTTTGACTACTAAGTCATGTGTATAGTTGGCATCCGATGGAGGAGAAATTATTGGGTACCTCAGGGTGCCACGTCAAAGCCACTAACTGGTACCCCCATCCAATAGAATAATGCCATATGTCATATTAGAGAAACATTCCATGTCAGCTTCAACTCAGCCAAAACAGGGAAACAAAAAGACAGAAAGTTAACACCATCTAAACAGTCGCTGAGAACAAAAATCCCGCCCAAAATTCTTTTCCCCAAACCCAAAATCCCGCCTAAAATTCTTTTCCCCAAACCCATAAAGTACTTCTGAAAAAATATTTTTTTATTTCACTCCATCCCGGACAGTGGCAATAAACAATTCAGTCCAAAATTTTTTCTCTGGTCGACAAAGCCTACAACGAAGAAGTTACCGGAAGAGGTATGACTTTACCAATTATTATTCTATCTTCTCCCATCACTTTTTTTTTAATCTTGTGAAAATCTAAAATTTCTGCTATATTATTTTCTAATGGACTGCTTTTATTCTCCTTGTTCTACATTGTCATCCTAGACACCAGTCATTGTTTGTTGATTTATGTATTGATTGTTGCTTAAATAATAATAATAATGAGAATTAATTGAAGTGTTAAAAAGGTAATAGTATTTGCAAGTCATATCAATTTGATAAATCAACTACTGTTCTATGTGTCATGGATATCATTAATGTGTTTCAAAATTAAGTACTCTCTCTTTTTTTGTTTTCTTTTTGTCCTTCTAATTCTAAAAGTAGTTTGATAGGTTTTCTTATTATAAATAGATTTTGTGGTTTTAATAGGCAACTCATCAAAATGGAGTCATCAGATTCAGAGTTGTTGAGAAATGAAAATGGGGATTTTAACGTACTTAAAATTGGAATGGAAGTTTCTAGTGAAGATGAAGCATATAGATTGTACTGTGAGTATGCTTTGAAGAAGGGTTTTAGTGTTCGAAAAGGAAATTATCGACATGGGAGTGGTGGAGTAATCAGGCAACGTGAATATTTGTGTGCATTTTCAGGACAATATCGATATGGTGATCCTTCCGATCTGAAAAAGGTTAGAAGATTGGTGACACGAATGGGTTGTAAGGCTTCAATTAGGTTTTCCATTATAAATGGAATGTTGAAGGTAAGTCATTTCAGTGATGATCACAACCATGATTTTGTTGATCCAGAAGAGAGACAATTTTTAAGAATAAATAGAAATATAGATTCTGCCAGTGCTAGCATTATTAATTCTATGGTTGATGCTGGTATAAAAGGGACAAAAGCCTACTCATATATTTCAAAGGAAGTTGGTGGGTCTGAACATGTTGGATTTACTCAAAGAGATTGTCACAATTTTATCAATGAAAAGAAGCAAAATCTGATTAAAAGAGGAGATGCACAAAGTATAATGAAACATTTCAGGTGTTGTCGAATTGAAGACCATATGTTCTATCATGATGAAGAATTAGACGAGGAAGGTCGTTTGGCAAATTTCTTTTGGAAAGACGGGAGATCAAAATTTGATTATGATTGTTTCGGAGATGTTGTGGTGTTTGACACCACATATCGAACAAACAAATATAACATGATCTTCGCTCCATTCATCGGGGTCAATCATCACTTAAAAAATATTTTATTTGGTTGTGCATTTTTGTTAGATGAAACTACCGATTCATTTGTTTGGTTATTTGAAACTTTTTTAGAGGCAATGGAGAATAAAGCACCAAAGACTATATTTACCGATCAGTGTCAAGCAATGGCAAATGCCATTAAGAAAGTTTTTCCAAATACTTGTCATCGTCTTTGCTCATGGCACATTTCGAAGAATGCAACTCAAAACATTGGGAGCTTGTATGCTAATTATGAGTTCAAATGTTTGTTTAACAAATGTCTACATTGTGAAAAAAAGGATGAATTTGAAGCAACTTGGGATGAGATGATTAGAAGATTTTGTGATGGAGGCAACAAATGGCTTAAAACACTTTATGGATTAAAAGAAAAGTGGTGTCCCGCTTTTAGCCTAGACACCTTCACTCTTCGTATTAAATCCACTCAAAGGAGTGAAAGTATGAATAATGTTTTAAAGAAGATATCTTGCAAGACCATGGCCTTAATGGAATTTGTGCTACATTATGAAGAACAATGTGAGAAGATGCGTTTGGCAGAGACTCATGAAGATTTTCGTTGTAAACATAGAATGGTGCAACCAAAAATAAGAGAGAGTGAAATATTGGAACAAGCAGCTAGTGTTTATACAACTAGTATTTATTACTTGTTTGAAGATGAGTTTCTTTCTAGTTTGAAGGTGCATCTAGAACAACTTGGTAGTCTTAATAAACTTCACAATTATCGTGCGTTTCAGGAGCATCACAAAGAGTGCCACATTATAGAGTACGACTCCTCAAATTATAACGTCACGTGCTCTTGTAAAATGTTTGAGTCCGCGGGATGGTTGTGTCGGCATGCACTTAAGGTTCTCAATTTGTGGAATATCACCGAGATACCATCTCAATATATTATTGATAGATGGAAGAAATGTGCAAAAGATAGAAATGTTGTTTTTGACCAAGGTGAGTTATCCACGCAAAAAAAAACATCACTAACTGTAGAAAGGAACTTCTTACTTCAACAGGCTTATCGTGCTATCAATTACTTGGTTTTGAGTGATGAAGGAAAAATTGTGGCAAAAAGTCATGTGTAATCAATGTGGGATGAAACTCAAAAACTAATGGAGGCTTGCAATCTCAATAAAAGAAGTGCTGATTCTAGTTGTGATCATACCGCGGAAAGTTGTGTACAGTTTAATGATATGTCCATATTGGATCCTTTATGTGTAAGGGAAAAGGGAATAACCAATGCACGGTTAAAAAGCCATAAGGAAAAGAAAAAACGTAAGAAGGCAGGAGGTAACACAATTTTCTCTACATTTACTCAATTTGTTTTTCATATTGAATTTACCTATCCAAACTTATGAGTTATAATTATTTATTGCAGCACCAAAAGCACAAACAAGTGTAAAGCATTCAGTTAGCACCTTTGGTAGCTCAGACACTACAGTTGGCCAATGTTCATATGACGAATGGTCGTTCATTTGGTACACCAATGCATGCTAATTTTTACAATCCAAGTCTTTCCCATGAGGTACATTTCATTTTACTTTAATAACTCAAAATACATTAATAACCCGTCTTCATATAGTAAATAAATAATTTATAGGTTATATATTCATTTGTGCATGACATTTTTCAACACGTTTTTGTAGGATGTCATCTCAAACAACCTCGGTGATTGTGAAAGAAGCCGACAAATGCTAATATCTCAAGAGTCGTTAAATCCTGTTGATTCCCTAAAAGATGATGGTTTAATTGGTACAACTTTGTAGATTTTTTTTCTATAATTCATTCTAAATAACACTATTCTTAACTAACCACACACATATAAATATTTTTTATAGGATTTCTACCAATTGGCCAACATGAAAGTTGAAGTTGGATGACTTATGAAGATCAATAGTCTGAAATTGTTTTATTTTGTTTTAGAGAGTGCTACTTTCTTCCAAGAATTGCACTTTTATCATATTGAGGATACTATGTAATATTTGGATTGTAATGAGTGATTGCCTTGCCTTTACTTTTAGTAAATTTGTTGTCTTTATTCCATGATCCGTAGTTTGAAGTTCTCGTATCATTACTTAAACCCTGAAACCAATTTAAAAGGGTAAACCAAATGTTTTTTTTGTAAGGTTTTAAGGATGGAGGTATCTGAAGCTTTTGACAAGAAGATACAAGTTCAGTGATGTACTTGTCAAAAAAAAAAAAAAATCTTTTTTTCTTTATTCAAGCAAATAATGAATTTAGATTATTCTTGGTAGATGTTTTTTTCATGAAAAAGGCTCAATCAATAAAAATAATAGGTATTCTTGTGAGAGAATTTGTTTGTTAATAAAAATAATAGTAAAACTTAGTGGTTGATAATCCAATCAATATACAAATAATGGGCATCCTTGGATTACTAATTGAACTGCAAAGGAAACATTCAGATGTACACCAGCGAATACAGCATTTTAATGAGTTTCCAAACCACCAATGGGATGTGCAAAAACCAAATGTAGGATCTCTGATAGAGAGCTTTTGTGCATCTCTCCTCAAGCCAAGCTTGGCTCAGCAAAAAGTGCATTATGAGTCCATACAAGTACTGGGCTCTACTAGGTGCTCCCTGTCTCTCCTCTCGTTCAAGGTCATACTGGCCCTTCCCTACTTCTCCTTGTTGCCTCTTTTTCCCCATTGAGACCAAGGGCTTGACCAGTATTTTTTCTTTAGAACCTCCAAGAATAGGTTTGTTTGCACCGATCTCCACAGTTTGGCTGGGTTTACATCATCACAAACAAAAGGAAACCCCTACGTTTTTTTCGAAGTTACCTGTGTTCAAACAGAATATTGATCAACAAGAAAATAAAATTATTGACACATTTAAAGCTGAATATCAAAATATGAATTCAAATTAAAAAATTCAACAGACCCATTGGAAACAATGGATCTCAAAAATTGCGAGAAAATGAAGGAAATACAAAATAGTGATGAAAGAATTCATACTGAGAGAGAGACAAAATGAGAATCACCTTGATTTTTTCAGAGATCTGTGGTGGCGTTCATCCGGCAATGGAGGCAAGTTTTACTAGATTTTGATGTCCATTTGTGAGATGTGGAGTAAGAAACAGCTTTATTCATTTTTCGACCAAAATTTTTTCTTTTGTGGTATTTGAGGAAAAAAAATATTATAATGTGAAATTTGAAATTTGAAAATTGAAAATTTTGACTCAATTGATTTTAAACGGTGTTAACTTTCTGTCTATTTGTTTCCCTGTTTTGGCTTAGTTAAAGCTGACATGGAATGTTTCTCTAATATGACATATAGCATTATTCTATTGGATGGGGGTACCAGTTAGTGGCTTTGACGTGGCACCCCTGAGGTACCCAATAATTTCTCCTGATGGAGATGGAACAGGTGGACGAAATTGTTGGGTGTATAGTTTTTATTATATATATAAATATATATATAGTATTATGTGTAATGGAAAGAAATGGGCTGGCCAAAGGAAAGGTAATGGTACGACCCAATAGATTTTTGGTCTGTAATTGAATTGATTTTTGATTTTGTGTCGGTGGGATTGTCATTATAAAATGAGTGTTGTGCACTGAGTAAGTAAGCAAGACAGAGAGGAAAATATAGAGGAAATTTAGTGTGAGAGAGAAGCGCACGGAGGGCTGAGATTTTTGGTGCTAAGATGATCGATGATTTATTTTACAGCGTAGGAATTTTTATACCTTGGATCGTTTGGGTAATTTTTATTCAAATATTTTGTTAATGCTATTTTGTTAAAATTGTATATATGTATTTTATTTAAAAGTATATGTATATTTTGTGAGACTGATTTTCATGAAACCCTTTAAAAAATCTTATTATAGTTTTCCTACTGGCACTTCTCCCATCTCACCCCCTTCCAGTTTCAGGTACCGTAGATTGCTAATTGCGGACTTAGGCAAGAGCGAATCCAGGAATTGTCATTGTGGGCTAGTATTGAACATAAATTTAATTACACAATTTCATAAGCAAATTTTTTTTGAATGGGTTAAAAGGGGGCTAATACTACTATTAAAATTTTAAAAAAAAAAAAAAAATTGGGCTGAACATACCATACTAATTTTTTTTTTTTTTTTTTTTTTGAGGGGGGCTCAAGCCCACCCAAGCCCCCCTTTGTGTCCACCACTGGACTTAAGTAGAAGAGTTGGTGTTGAGGAATTATTTAATTTATTTAGAGAATTTTGTATATTTATCTGAGGAATTGATTTTGTATCAACAAAAGTGTATTTCTTTTGAGATCATGGGTGTAATCTTTCATAAAATAATACATCTTTTTCCGGTTTATTGGTTTTGTAATGAAAAGTGTAGGGTTTTGTTACCTCTCCAACTATCTCTCCATTAGGTAGGATTTTTTTGGCCCAAGCGCTTATTTGTTGAGGAGAAACTAATCCAATTCGGTGAAGTATATGAATTTGAATAAATCGATGAATTTATTTAGAAAATTCGGGGCGTAACATATCATCACTTTTAACTCTTTCAATTGTTTTTTGCACAAATATTAAGCAAAACTACCAGGCTTAATAAACATGATATAAATTACTCCCCTTGAATAACAAAAAATAAAAAAACTCCCCCTTAATCTTGTATTATCTCCCCCTTTTTGGAACAAATTGGCAGAGGAGGAAAAACAAAAAGGGGGGGCACACTAGAGCAAACGATCATGTTATAAATGTCAAAAAAATTTCAAGCACATAGTCACAAAAATCATCATAGTCATGATGCAACAGCAAAGTATGAACAAGTGAGTATCCATCATGAATAAAAAATAATAACCTAAAAGAAAATATCCAAAAAAAAAAAAAACTGATAAACCATTAACCTCATCATTATCGTTAACATCATCTTCATCCTCCTCATCATCATCAACATCTCTCTCGGAAGTCTCTAAAGGTGCGGGTCTATACACATCCTTTGCAGGAACACCCAACTACTGCTCTCTAAGAACCTTGATCTCAACTCGTAGCACTCTTACTTCATTCTTCAAAGAGTAAACTCTATCAAGAATATCATGATCACTCTGAAGTAAAGAGGCAAACAAAAGATTGGTGTCATGTAAAGGCCCGAATTTCAAGAACCCGAAGCGTTAGCGAGTAACCCAAAATCCTGACCAGATAACGAGTCCGAAATGCAGAAGCAAAAACAAAAAAAAATAGGTCACTAGAGGTAAACAACACCTTTAGGACAACAATTAAAACTTAAAAGATGTCACAAGACTCTTCTTAAAGGCAAAAGCAGAAGCAAAAGTCAAAATGGGCAAAATCTATTAATCAAGGGTAAAATGGTCATTCCATAAATAAAAAGAGAAATCTGACTCTGAAAAAGTTAAATGAGGTCTATGTAACATATTCTAATCTGACACTATCTCACTAAAAAATGAATGACTCCCATTGTGATTTGAATATGATAATGGAATTGGTACCATTGGAAAGATGACTCAAAATCCTAAAAGATAGGCTTAAAAATGACCAATTGAGCTAGAGATGTAGGAGATATGGCAGTCCGAAGTTGGCATGACAAAGCTGTTCCCAAAAACTGAAAAGGGAAGGCTTTAGGGAGGATCAGTTGGCTGATGGGAAGGATTAGCCGACCGAAAATGGATCATCAGTCGGCTGACAACATTAGTCAGCCATCCGAAACACACTCTCAGCTACCAAACTCTTTGTCCAAGCCAAAAATGGCATGTTGGTTGGCTGGCTTATGTCACCAATCGGCCAAAACACCCTGGGAGCAAAAAAAAAGGGCCATTGCTAGTACAATATTGGCTATGAACTACACCAATATCGAAAACATGGATCCCAAGGATGTCTGAACGGTAAAAAATGCAAGGTAAAGCCAACCTATGGCGTCCAAAGCATGGCAAGGAACATGGTGATCTAAATGAGTGTATATAACATACAAAAGTGTGCAATTTAAAAAGAAAAGCACAGATTGAAACGAAATGGTTCCTTGGCCTCAAAACTAAAATCCTAAGTATCATACAAGATGAAACATGGAATGGGAATACTAGAATATCATTGATAAACACTCACAGCATGCAAACTAACCATTTAACATGCAAGG